AGCACCTTCCCTGGCAACGGCGCCAAAAACTTGATGCGGCATACTTATGTACCAAAATTACAAGTGCACAATTGATCAAGTTATAGTATAAAAAGTTATCGATCCCACGAGGAAGGTGATTTTAAGAGATTATTAGAATTGGTTCTTATGTTTTGTGCATGATAAAAATAGGATTAAAGAATAAGTGTGATTGTGATAAGTGATTATTGTGAATATATGCAAGAGATAATAAATTGAATTTTAGAGGAGAGAAGAAGGAATCAAAGAATAAATGAAATCACAAGGCAAGAAAGAAGAATGAATAAAATCAAGAATTAAAATCAAGAATGAAAAGAAAATTCAAGAAAGTCAAGATGGAGGATTCAATTAAGATATGAGAAATCTAGAATTTAATCCACTAGCTAATCTCAATTACAAAATACAAACTATTCTCTTTTTAACATATTTTAACTTAGATTTATTAAGCATAGACTATCAAACCATTTAAGGAAAGTATAACCTATCAAATTATCATCTAAGTTAAAATTACTATTCATGATAAGAACAACAACAAGATAGTAATCCTAGAATTCATAAGCATAATCCATCAAATCATTTAAGATAAGCATAGATTATCAAATTCTTCTTCTACCGATTAGTTTTCTAGTTGATTATCCTAAACATAAATATTTTAAGTGCAAGAGAATAATTTGCATAATATAAAAAAAATTAGACTAGCATTATACAATTCTAAGATTCCTACAAGAATTAATTTCACATCTTAAGAAATAAAAGCAAGAAGGAAAAGGACTAATTAAAAAATTTAAAAAAAAGAAAAATCTAAACTATGAACAAGAAATAAATCTAACTACAAAAATTAAAATCTAAACTACAAAAATTAAATGCAAGAAAATAAATCTACTCTATAAATTAAAGTGCAAAAAGAAATAAAAAGACAAGAAAATAATTCTACACTACAAGCATGAATGTAAATCTAAGCAATAATAAAGAAATTACTAAAAAGAAAAAAAAGAAAAAAAAGAAATGCAAACCTTCAAATTGCTCTTCATCTCCATCCTCATCATTCAACAAAGAGGAGAAAAGACAAATTTAAAGTGGAGAAAAATTATTATTATTAATTACAACAAAAGTTATAATTTTTGGAAGGCCTTCTCAATTAAGAGTAGCCCTCCTCTCCAAATAGAGTTATAAAATTTTTTACACCCCTAACCCCTCACTCTCTACCCTTATTTATAGTAAACATCAGTGAATGAGAGCCATTGGATTAAAATCTTATCCAAAAATAACAAATTTCAGTTTATAGTAAACATCAGTGAATGAGAGCCATTGGATTAAAATCTTATCCAAAAATAACAAATTTCAGCCATTAATCTGTAACATAATGCCGATAGTATCGATACCAGCATCGATAGGGGTATCGATACCGGCATCGATACGGGCATCGATGCTGGCATCGATACGGGCATCGATGCTGGCATCGATACGGGCATCGATGCTGGCATCGATGCCTTATCCTCTCTGGTTGTTATCCGCTGAATCCTCTTGGGTTTGCTCTTGGGCTTGGGCCTTGGGCTTTTGCTTGGACTTTTGGCATTTTTTTCTTAATTTTCCACTAGGCTTTGATTTATTTCTTCATTAAATATTTGAAAAAATCCATTTGGCTTCATGGGCTTAATTTCTTCATTAAATAAAGGGCTTGTTGTTGAGAGATGAGAGTTTTGAGATTTATTCTTCATTAACCTGCAATTAAAGATAAAAACAGTTATTAGTGGTATATTTATTCATATAAAATAGATAATGAAGGTATAAAATTATAATAAAATATGATTATCAAATACCCCCACACCTAAACTTTTGCTAGTCCTCTAGCAAAGAAAATAAAAAAACATCATAACTCACTTTCGTAGGAATCGCAGTTATATTTAGCACATACAACAAGCCTTTAAACCCCTAGGTTACCCTAGTGAACAAGTTGTAGTCTCGTGAGGGTTTGCAGTGAATATACCCACAAAATTCGGTCAACTTGCCAAGTTAAATAAGTCAGTAAATAACTAATTTTCCTTGATATATTTAGACATTCTAATTGAAGCTAGTTAATAATCAAGAAAACGTTTTTATATATAACTCCAATGTAACTCTCCTAGAAAATCTTTTTCATTATAGCAATACAAAACCAAGTCAAAAAAGTTTTGAAAAGAACATGCTAACTCTTTGTTTTAAATAACTTTCAAGTCTCTTGATCAAAAATTGTTTTTCAAAACCATATATACAAATCAAGTCTCTTGATCAAAAATTGTTTTTCAAAACCATATATACAAAACAACAATATATATAAAAAAATGGGTAGTGTTATATCTATATAATTTTTTTTCTTCACTCTTTAATTCTTGGTGATTGTTTTCTATTTTAACGGGCTTTCTAAGTGACCATTTAACGAGTTTTGGGCCAATGAATCCCAACCCAATTGGGCTTAGGTCATTAAGTATAAAAATACTCCTTGGGCTTAATTGCTCAGTCAACTTAGGCTTTATAAGATAGAATCACCTTGAATTTAAGAAATTTTTTTTTTAGTGGTGCCCATTTTTCGCACTCTTCTTTTATAAGGTTAGTTTTTTTTAATATATATATGTGTAAGTATATATAGTCTTTAAAAAAAAATGTATAAATCAAGATAACTTGAAAAAAATATTTTCAACTCTAAGTTAAGCATGCAAAAATTTCATTATTTTTAATTAAAAATCTACTTGAAAAATCATTTCTTAAGACATTTATTTGGAGTTATCATAAAAGGTGAACTTGAGTATATCACTAACTAGGAATTAGAAAATTTAAAATCTATCAATTAAATCAATTATTACTTAACTCTATTAATTGGCAAGTGACAATCTTTTTATAGTTTTTTTTATAAAAACTATGTAAAAAATGCAACAAAATGATAAGATATGTACTTCCCACCCCCACACCTAAATTTTACATTGTCCTCAATGCAAATTCGTTGATGCACAAAGTAAAGCAGATAAGAACTTACATTTGTTCGGTTGACAATGATGATAAGGATCTGCAATTACTGTTAGTATGAGGATGAAGAAATCAAATAAGAGAGAAACATTATAATTATTTTTTTTCTAGAAAAAAATATTATTTTATTATTATTATTTATTTTTATTTTTATTTTATTATTATTTTTTTTTACATATAATAAGGTTCATGAAGAACCAACACCTCTTCCTCTCCGAGCGTAGAAAATTCTAAAAATGGTTTTAGACATTAACCATTTATTTTAAAAATGTTACCATTTTTAGGATTTTCTATCTCTACAGCCCCATGCGAAAAAACTTGTTTGACAAAAAATGGACATGTCCATCTTGATCTTAATTTTCTAGGAAAAAGATATAATTTTGAATTGTACAATAAAACTTTTTGTCCTGGAGAGAAATTTTTTCGTAAAATTGATTTGTCATGAAAAATCTTGGTTTTCTCTTTGTAAATTTTTGAGTTTATGTATTCATCATTTCTAATTTCTTCCAACTCATTTATTTGGAGCAATCTTTTCTTACCTGTCGAGTCTGAGTCAAAAATTAACTTATCTGTTTATTACTTAATGCGAAATTTGATCGAACGTTGAGTTGTTAGTTAATCATACAACATGCATTTACGTATGTGATTTACAAAATTTTCTTAAGAGTTATTTATGGGGAATTTTCCTTTGTCTCGATAAATACTCTGCTATCCAATTCATATTCTCATATATTTTGTTCTCTGGGGCATGACATATTCTGACATTCTTGTCTTAGATACATGTAATGGTAAATGGATGTGGATGTAATAAATAGGCTTAGGAGCATTTATAGAGAGTTTTCCTTTGTTCTGATAAATATTCTATTGAGCTGGCCATAATCGACATGTCTTCAGTCTCTACGGCATGACATAAATGTTCCAAGATCAAATCATAGTGTTCAAAGTTCCATTAGAGATTCATGTTGGAAATGAAAGATCTAAGTTGGATTTTCAAGCTAGCATTGGTCTAATTAATGGTAGATTGCGTGGTGTATTTCCAGAAAGCACCCTTAAAATTTGGAAATTATAAAGAGACACCCCGGAATTTCAATATCTTTAGGGGGCATATTTGTAATTTTAAAATTTACACGGTTTGTTCTAAATATCAAAATTTGAGGGTTGTGTTTCTAATAGTTGAAACTTTTGAGGAGGTTTTTGTTGTTAATTTTTTTATCATGGGGTTGTTTGCTATTTTTCATTTTTAGAATGATTTTTGTAATTTTTAAACTTTTTTGGTTGTTTTTTTTGTATATTTTGATTGTATTTTTTCATAATTTTTTAAACTTTTAGGGTGTTATTTATAAATTTAAATTTTTTTTGGAGGATTTATAGTAATTTCATATTTAAGGTTGGCTTGTTAGTTTTGAAAATTAGTGGTTATTGTTTTTATAGATTTTGAATATTTGATGGGTTTTTTCAATTTCAAAATTTTCAAGAGGCTATTTATAATTTTAGATTTTTAGGGTTGTTTGTAAGTTAGATTTTTAAGGCTATATATAAGAGCTCTTAATTTCAAGGATTAATTATTCCTATGTCCCTATTTCGTTCTCTTTGTTTCCTCCAAAATTTTCTAATATTTAATCTTGAAAATCAGTCTTTTCGTCCTTATCCTCACTTTATGCATAAGAAAGTTCCTTCTTGCTAGTTGAATTTTTTTGTGTCTTATGCACACAAACCCATTTAGCCTTTACTCTCTTTACCTACATTTTTTTGAAATACTTCAACCTTGTATTACAAACGGAAAATAACTTAAGGATTCAAAATATGGGACCAAGGGAGGGGACACCTTACCTGTCCCCTCCATTGGTCCCATATTTTGGGTTGCTACAAACTGTCCCCTCCATTGGTCTCATATTTTGGGTCCCCGTAGCAGCACTCATTACAAACCATCCTAAAGCACTCCACACGGCAATGTAAGCACTAACTAACTTCCCTTTCCAACACTAGGACTTGAATTTTGGCTCCTTAGCAATAGGATTTAAACCCCTACTATACAGCTCGCAATCAAGAATAACCTTATAACATCCGAGCCCCTTAGCGTGGTCTGAGAGGTATCTTATCATCTTTTGCCCTAATTTCTTCCCTCTGACTTCCTTATCGACGACGATGTCCTCAATGTGGCCGACCTTGCTGCAACCGCGGAGGAATTTCTTCTCGATGAAGACGGAGCCGGTGGCGATGATCCGGTTGGAGACCGGGTCCTCAGCGACGCAGATCACATGATCGTCGCCGAGAGATGCGACCTCGTTGAACCGGAGATCGAACCGGGCGTCGGAGATCTGGGGGCAGGAGCTGAGCTGGGAGAGGAGATCGATGAATCCTTTCGATTTGTCGGCGGGTTCGAGTCTTCGGATTGAAAATTGAGACTCTTGCTCTTGATTTGGTTGGGGATTGGTCGCCATCGGCTCCGGCGTCCCGATGCGTTTGATCTGGAGGCGGTCTCTTGATTTGGTTGGGGATTGGTCGCCATCGGCTCCGGCGTCCCGATGCGTTTGATCTGGAGGCGGTAGGGAACCTGAACGCGATGTGCGGTCTCTTTGGGCCCTAATTTTGCATGAAGCAAGCCGAAGCCAGATGAAGGTTTTAATGCCCGGCCCATTCATTGAATAGCACTTTAAGGGCTGTTTGGTTGGTTTCCTAAAAATCAAGAATAGGAAATTGGGTCATGGAAATCTCAAAAACATCAATTTTTTCCATTTCCATCCACTTTATCTAATAAAATATTATTTTCATCCAACAACTCATCTCATATCATCTCCTAAAAATATCTAATAAAAATATCTATTATTTTCATCCAATATCTAATAAAATATTATTTTTATCTAACAACTCATCCACTTTATCCAATAAAATATTATTTTCATCCAACAACTCATCTCATATCATCTCCTAAAAATAAACTAAACACAAGAAATATGTCACATCATCCAACTCATCTCATCTCATATTTTAAAAAATCACTTACATCATCCAATAATATGGTGACAACTCATCTCATCTCAGTAACATTTCATTTCCACCAATTTCCTCAAAAAAAAATAAGGAAATTGATTTTCTTAAGTGTGGGTCACATCATCCAATAATATACAAACAACTCATCTCATCTCATCTATTTTCTTATTTTTAAGAATGAACCAAACACAAGAAAGAAACTATTATAGTTATTTTTAAGAATGAACCAAACACAAGAAAGAAACTATTATAGGAAATAGGTTTCTTATAATACATTTTCTTATTTTTTTTTAACCAACCAAACAATCTCAAAACACGTTTTCTTAAAAAATCACCCACATCATCCAATAATATGGTGACAACTCATCTCATCTCATCTCCTATTTTTTTGATTTCCTTTTTTTTTAGCCAACCAAACAACCATAATACAAGATTTCATATTCTTTGATTTCCTATTCTTTGATTTCCCATTTTTTTAGGCAAACAAACAGTTATAAGACTTCCTACTACGCGGAAGATTCACAAGATCATAATAAGAGATTGGACGAGTAACAGGGTTGTCAAATGAGTGGTTTTGATTGGGTCTTGGTTGGGTCATAAATGGGTGGGCATATTTATGACCACTTGGCCATTTATGACCCATTTAGCATCACTTCTCATCCACTCATTTACTTAATGTGTGGTTCATAGGTGACCAAATAACCCATTTAGTTATGATGCTTTTATATATATGTAAGTTTTAGGGATCTACTTGCAAACTTTTAGTGATTTTTTGTAAACTTTTAGGGGGTTTTTGTAAACTTGCAAGGGTTTTCTGCAAACTTTTAGGGAGTTTTCTATAAACTTGCAGGGGGTTTGGTAAACTTTTAGGGTTTTTTTGCAACTTTCAAGGGGGTTTTCTGTAAACTTTTAGGGGGGTTTTTGTAAAAAAACTTGCAGGGGTTTTCTGTAAACTTTTAGGGGGGTTTCTGTAAACTTTTAAGGGTTTTCTACAAACTTTCAGGGGGTTTCTGTAAACTTACAGCGGGTTTTCTATAAACGTGCAAGGGGTATTTGGTAAACTTTCAGGTGGTTTCTACAAACTTTTAGGGGGTATTCTGCAGATATTTTTGGGATTTTCTGCAAACTTTTCAGGGGTTTTAAAACTGAGAAACACATATAAGAAATAAATAAAGAATTGGTCTATTTTTACAAGTTTCTTATCCTAATAAAAACTTTGCTGTTATTATGAATAGAAAACATATGTTCTTTCACATATGGCATTATATATAGAAGACCAAGAAGGCTAAAACTTTGGAAGAAATGAACAGAGGAACCAATCTATAAGCTACAAACAAAAGCTTCAACCCATTTTAAGCCACATCGGAAAAAAAGGGGCACAAAAAAAGCGCATCCACCCTAGATTACCAAATACAGACAGTAGGAGTATGTAACTACTGGGCTTCATATCAAATATGGACAAATTTTCAAAACAATCCCTTTTAGACATTTAATTGCAAAAACCAACCTATTTTGTACTTATTTGCAGAAACCGACCTGGTTTCAGCCCTGACGCTAAAACCAGGTCAGTTTCTGGAAAAAATTACGAGAGTTCACGAGAGTTCAACTCCCATGAAGTTTACCATAATTTTAAACTTCACGGGAGTTCAACTCTCGTGAAGTTTAATTTGTTAAATAAATTTCGCGGGAGTTGAACTCCCGTGAAATTTTTAACGTTCAACAAACTTCACGGGAGTTCAACTCCTGTGAAGTCTGTTGTAAGGGCAAAAACTCCACGGGAGTTGAACTCCCGTGGAGTTACAGTCCCCAATTGCCAGAGATCGATTCTCTGGCAATTTTCTCCTGCAACCCCACGGGAGTTGAACTCCCGTGGAGTGTTGGCCTGCCTATATAAGGCGCAAGTCAGTTGATCCTTTCACTTCTCTCACGGCTCCTCCTCAAACGAAAACCCTAGCCCCTCTCTCCCTCGTCCCCAACCACCACCGCCGTCGACCAAGGCCCCCACCGCCGGCGCCGCCCCCGTTTCCGACCGCCTCCACCGCCAGTTCCCATCCCGCCGGAGTTTAGCGCTCTCGCCGTCGTTGTCGCCGGAGTTCACTGCAAATTAGAGCATCGACTAATTGAAGGTAAATTCTTCTAATTTTTTTTCTTTATTTCTTGTATATTGTCACTTATTTCATGGTGATCTCATGTAAAAAATTAGATTTTAGAAATTAATTGTGTTAATTATGAATTGTTGATGATTTTTGTGAATAAAATTGGGATAATTTTGTGGATTTAGAGGGGGGATTATAAAAAATATAAAAATTAGTGTTACTACATACTGATGAACATCGATATATGAATTTGGGTTAAATTATGGTCATCTAAAATTGATATAGGATTTAATGGTTAGTAACAATTAATTTCTAAAGTTTTTTTTGTGTAATATTGATCTTTTCAGAGGTAACGATGAACGATCGAATCATAATTCTTTGTTCTTATGATGGGAGGATTAACTACGTCAAAAATAATATGCCCGTTTATGAATGAGGTGCGACGAGACCGTTGTTTATAACAAAATCGTGTACTTTCGATGAGTTGGTTAATAAATTACACAAACTTGCATTAACCAACTCACGTGAGTATCAATTTAATATTATTTGCAATTATCCTGTTGTGGGGAACAAGACAGGCGACATTCAAATATCAAGAGACTACGATATGGGTCTCATTGGAGTCTTACATGCGAGAAGAGGACAATCGAATTGTTCATTGAAAAACATCAGAGGAATTTGGGCAAATCGTTGAATAGGATTTTTAGATACATTAATTGCACTAAAATTGTCACATATTATGGATGATATGGGACAATTTATGCCACAATCAGCTAATGTTTGTTTCATCCATAAAATTTGAGCACATGCAAGACTTGCAGCAATATATTCAGCTTCAGTCGTTGATAATGATACTGAATTTTGCTTTTTACTAAACCAAGATACAAGTGAATGTCCTAAGAAATAACATGTTCCACTTATACTTTTTCTATCGGATTTACATCCAACAAAATCAGCATCACTATATGAAATTAAATCAAATGTGCTATGTTGTGGATAAAACAATCCATAATTTGTAGTATCTTTAAGATATCTAAAAATTCTTTTCACTGCTTTAAGATGTGATTCTTTAGGATTAGATTAAAATCTAGCACATAAACATACACTAAACATAATATCAGGTCTACTTGCAGTAATGTAAAGAAGTGATCCAATCATACCTCGATAAAGCTTTTGATCTACATTCCTACCATTTTCATCTTTGTCAAGTGATGTAGTAGTACTCATTGGTGTTGGTTTGCTTGTTGTATTTTCCATTCCAAAGCGTTTGAGTAAATCTTTTGCATACTTGCTTTGATTGATGAATATTCCTTCTTTTAATTGTTTAATTTGAAGTCCAAGGAAGAAATTTAGTTCACTCATGTGACTCATTTCAAATTCATCCTGCATAGTCTTAGCAAACTCTTGATAAAAATTGTTGTTAGTAGAACCGAGAATAATATCATCTACATATATTTGGATTAGTAAAATATCTTTATTTATTTTCTTAATAAATAATGTTGAATCAACTTTTCCAATTTCAAAACCTGAAGTTAAAAAAACTTCTTTAATCGATCATACCAAGCACGAGGTGCTTATTTAAGACCATATAAAGCTTTCATAAGTTTAAAAACATGATTTGGAAAACTTTCATGTTCAAAACCTGGAGGTTGTTCTACAAAAACTTCTTCTTTTATAAAACCATTTAGAAATGCATTTTTAACATCCATTTGAAATAATTTAAAATTCATAAAGCATGCAAATGCAAGTAAATATATTTTTAGGTTTAATAGTTGAAATAAAAGCAGTATGAGCAATCAAATTAAAATAAGATCTAGTAGTTACTTAATCAGAAATATTTCTAATGACTAAATCATGTGGATGATTTTTAACTTCTACAAAATCTTTAGGTAAGTCATTTTGTAGATTATCATCTTTTGTAATATCTAACATTGGAGTATCATGAATAGTATCAATTATATCATCATCATTATTTAAAATAATGGGTGGTTTTGAAAAATTTTCATCAAAAGAAACATGTAAAGATTCTTCAATAACTAAAGTTCTTTTGTTATATATTCTATATGCTTTACTATGATTAGAATATCCAACAAAAATTCTTTCATCAGATTTTGAATCAAATTTATCTAAGTTATCCTTTGTATTTAAAATAAAACATTTATAACCAAAAACTTTAAAGGAAGATACTTTAGGAATTTTATTATAAAATAATTCATAAGAGGTTTTCTTTAAAATAGGTCTTAATAAAACTCTGTTTAATACATAACAAGCTGTTGATACAGATTCTGCCCAAAAATATTTTGGTAAATTACTATCACATAACATGGTTCTAGCACATTCTTGTAAAGTTCTAT